TAGAGAAATCAGAAGAGAGTACTGAGACTGACCGTCTTGTCCATACCACACAGAAGGTAGCACACAGGCAGGAAATCTATTGATCCCTTCATCTGTGACCCAGTAAGCTCCTGGTGTAGATGATAAGAATCAGAAGTTGAGGATTAACTCCTACTGCTCTGGTTAAAAACTGATGGACTGATGGGATGGGCGGCTGAGACTGAGTAGCAGCCAGAGGGACCTCTGCTTCTCTCCACCACCTCTAACCCACTTCTTTCTTTTTATAAAATTCTTTTTCTAAAAAATAATTCTGAACTTGGACACCAAATAAAATGAGTATTTCCACATACAAAGGAGAGCAGAAAAAGAAGATTGAACTTTAAGTTGTTGATTTCAATTAAATACAGCTTGCTTTTCCTTACAAGCAGAGATTCAATATATAACTTTCAAATCTGTTCTGCTTGGCTATTTTCTTTTGGCCTTTCTGTTCTTTTCTGTGCATTTAAACCTTCTTCAACGATCCTCTTTTTTCTTTTGGAAATCTTACCACAAGCTCACCTTCTCCCTAATTCCCTCTGCCCAACTGAAAAAAAGAAAAAGAAAAAACAAACCCCTTATAAAAATATGTATAGTCAAGCCAAACAAATCTTCACATTGGCCATGTATGTTTCATTCTGCACCTTTAATCCATTGCCTCTTAATCAGAAAATGGGTAGCATACTTCATCATCAATTCTCTGGAATTGTGGTTCCTCAATGCATTAATCAGAGTTCTTTTAAGTCTTTCAAAGTTGTTTTTCTTCCCAAAATTGTTATTGAATAAATTGCTCTATAGGTTCTACTAATTTCAATCTGCATCAGTTCACAGTATTTTAGCTTTTTTGAATTTATGCCTTTAAATATTTCTTACGGTACAATAACATTCACATTCACAGAACATAAATTTGTTCAGGCATTCCAAAACTGATAGACTTCTCTGAGTTTCCAGCCCTTTGTCATTACAAAAAGAGTTGCTATAAATATTTTTGTACATGCAATCCTTTTTGGGGCATAAGCCAATAGCAGTATCACTGAATCAAAGGATATATGTAATTTAGTAAATTTTTTTTTGGATTTAGTTCCAAATTGCTCTTCAGAATGGCTGTACCAATTCATAGCTTCACCAAGAGTAGAAAACAGCATGTCTGTTTTCCCTCAGCCACTCCAAAAATTGTCATTTCTGCCAATTTTATGAGTATGATACAACCTCAGAGTTGTTTTAATTTGTACTTCTCTAATTATTAATGATTTGGAACATTTTTTCACAAGCCTGTTGACGGTTTGGATTTCCTCTTGCAGCTCTGCTCCTGACTTCTGGACTAGGATGGGATGCCCACCTCTTGAGAAAACAAAACCCTACACGTGGGAACCAATAACACTTCTTTTAAAGTTCAGCTCAGGTACAACCTCCTTCACCAAACACTTCCTGGCTCCCCCATCCCCCCCTTCCCCAGTTACTAGTGTTCTTCCTCCTCAAATGATCTTGTACTTACTAGATTTACATGTTGTATCCCCCGCCCCAAGAGAATATAAGTTGTTTTTCATCTTTGTCTTTGTATCCCTACCACTTAGTACAGTGCCTTCTGCATAGAACATGGTTAATAAATGTTTGCTGAATAAATCAGTTAATGCTGATAGAACTGTGAATTGTTCCAATTATTCTGGCAAATACTTTGGAATGACAAAATAGAAGTTATTAAAAATGTTTCAAACTCTCTGATTCAATTGTCCTTTTATTAGGTTTATACCCTGAAGTTAATGACAGCAAGAGAGGTTTCCCTCTATAAAAATATTCAGAGCACTATTTATAATAGTAAAAATCTAGAAACAAAGTATATTTTACACAAAATGTGTGTTATTGGACAGATTGCGTTATGAGACTATAAAGGAACATTAGGCATAAGTAAAGATGTGTAAATTCTGAGAAAAGTTTTATGAACTGATACAGAATAAAGTAGAACCTAAAGAACAATCTGCACTATGACAATAATACAAAGTAAAGCATCAGTAAAAGCAAACAAATCTCAGCTGAAATACAATGGACAATGTTAGTTACAAAGTGCTAAAGTTAAAATATATGTACATTCTGTTAAATGGCAAACTACAAAAATAGCAAGTCATATCCAGTGCTTCTTAAACTTTTTCCACTCCCGACCCTACCAGTGAACCCCATAGAGGGTCATGACCCACACTTTAAGAAGTGCAGTACAATTCACTATAGTTGTACTTAATCTTTTTCTCGAGGGACAGTATAGGGCGGTTCATTGGGAACTAACTAGTGTTTCATAATAAAATGTATCAACTGAAAAAAAAAGTCACAGTTCTGCCTGAGTCATCATGGGGTAAAAGGGCAAATAAGAGTATACCTAGATGTCTGCACTATCTGTCCAATTGCTTTTTTTTTTTGCGCTTTTAGGCAATTGGAGTTAAGTGACTTGCCCAGGGTCACACAGCTAGTAAGTGTCAAGTGGTTGGTCTGACTCTGGATTTGAACTCATGTCCTCCTGACTTCAGGACCAGTGCTCTATCCACTGCACCACCTAGCTGCCCCTGTCCAATTGCTTTTGCGGTAGCTCCTGCTAAGGTTTCCATTACTTAAGTAAATCAGCTCAGTTTAATCTTTGAAACTGACTAACATAGAGTTGTCGCTGGGATCTATTCTAGGTAGTTGAAACTATAGGAGGGAAGATAGGGGGGAAAGTGGTATGATTTGGGAGTTGAAAGTGAGTCTTGAGTAATTCCTTGAGTTAAAGAGGAAATTGCAACACAGCTAGAGTAAGATGAGGAGAAAGGCTATGGCTCTGACAGGAGGTGGAAGAGAACCAAGAGTATAGCAGAACTTGTAGAAATGTACACTCGGTTTTTTAAAATGGCAGTTAAAAATATTTTAACATATAGTAATGACTTAACATACATAATGTAATTCTATAGCCAGCCTGGCTAGAATGCAGCTCTTCTTTCTATAAAAGACAGCTGTACCAAAAACAACTGCTTCCAACTTGACAATTTCTAGAAGAGTAATATTTATACATTATAGAACGGGCAAAAAAAGGTCAAAATTGCACTTCTATTTTAGAAGACTAAAAGCCAAGACGTAAGGAATAAAGGATTTTATATCATTTTAGTAAAAAAATATATATATATATATATATATAATATGTATTCATGTCTGCATGTATGATGTCCCAAAAGTCTTGATGCAGTTTTAAGCTGTTAAGTCTTAAAACTGCATTAAGACTCTTTTGGGACATCCCATATATATGAATATGTAGCCATGTATACGAATATGTAACTCTCCAACTTGTACTCAGATTGCAAGCACCCCCAGGGTATATATGTGAGACTGACTACAACAGAGTTCCTGAAATTTTGGTGGTCTACATTTAAAAACAATAGCACAGCAGCCCAACCAGTACACTTACCTTTAATAGTGAACCATTGCACACGATTAGGTCAAACCAAAGGCATTTACTAAGATGGCATAGTAAGAAGAGCAGCTACCAGACATTCACCCTCTCCTCCCCATACACCTAAGGCTTGTGAGACACACATGGTCTATCACAAATAAACGCAGCATCGAGACGAGGAGTGGGCACATCCCCTGGTAATGAGACACACGGGGCACGCAGATGGACAAGGCGATCCGTGTCTCTGATGTAAATTTTTTTCTTGTGGCATCCGCAGGCAGCTTCTCGGAGTGTGGCACCTTTCCTGGGGAGTTTGCTCAGCTGAGAACCTGCTTCTCTCAAGAGCTTGACTCCTAACACTGATTCTCTCTTGAACCCATAAGCTACTTCTCTTTTCGGCTACCAAGAGTCATTGTCCTCATGGGTGTAGTGCCTTCTGTTGGACAAATAGCTTTGTGCAAAGCAAAGCTCTTTAATAGAGGTACACAAAGAAATGCAGAGTGATCCCTTTTCAAGAGCTGAGTACTTCCTTTTTAGGTGGCTCTCCTCTCTGCTCCCAGGATCATATTTCACAAAGTTCTCTTGCCTCAATTATGCCTAGGGCGGGCAAGTTAGTTTTTAAAAGCCATTTGGGGCACAGTCAATCTTTGGCAAACTGCCCTTCTAATTCCATCAAGGAAGAACTCCTTCATATCTTGTAAAAGTACAACACAGTGAAAACTCATCTTTGTACTTATCAAGATTTTACCACCTTCTCTTTGTTACTTGCCCTTTCTGTGATTACATCAATTTAGTTGGGGAGGAGGTCACTTGATGAGAAGTATCCTGACCAAAGCCTCCCCAATGAATATATTTTCAGGAAACCCATATATAAGCTGTGATATAACCTAGCAATTTGAAAAAAAAAATGAATACAAGGAAATAATTTTTCTCTCTCTTCATAATATACAATTCATATTTATATATGGCTTTAAAGTCCACAAAATAATTTGCTCCCACCAACCCTGAGGTAGGCAATACAAGTACTATCACCATTTACAGATAGAGAAGCTGAGGCACAGGAAAGTTATTTATCTAAGGTCGTACGTTGAGGAAGTAACAAAGATGGGACTTGAACTGAGATCTTCTGACTCTTGGCTAATTTTTAAAACTTTTATTTTTTTTATTTTGAACTTAAGCATCAACAAATATAAATACAAGGAAGAAGAGAAAAAGAAGATTGAAAACGAAAGCATGAATCTCTAATGCACAAGTTTGGGTTCTTTAAGAGCATGTTAAATTTAGCAAGAGTTCTAACACTGCCCCCACTTGCCTATGTGGAACTATTCTCTTCTTTGTGTTTTAAAAATGTTTTACTGATGCTCTTTTCTTCTTTTCTTTTTTTTTTGTATCACTATCACTAACCATACACTTCCCTTCTAGAATGTTGCCCCCCAGCCACCACAGTAAAAATCCTCTCTATTAACAAATAAATGTAGTCAAACAAAAATTCCACACAATCCCTGTTAAGGTAGTGCTTATTTCCACCATGCCCCACTGTCATTCTCCAGAGATATATACAATGCAGAAAGCTTACCTGGAATTCTGTACTGCATCTAACTGGGAAGTTTCTATGGAACTGAAATACAAATGCAAGGAAACAGAATTTTTAAAATAAAGAAGGCAGTGAAGAAAGCAACTTGATAATTAGTTAATAAATTTCTCTACTTTTTGAAATATTGAGATAGTTATCAAATAAAGACAATATTATAGCAATATGATTTAACCAAAACTCCCGACTGAGAATCATTTAAAAAAAGGCATAGACAACGGGGCTGCTAAGATTTCATATCACATACTGAAAATATGTGGTTGAATGACTGTGTGCAGCAAACTCACACAGAAAAGAAACACTTAAAAAGCCATAACTGACTTCCTTCACTTTGATGAAGCACACAAAAACTGCCAGTGGCTAGAAACCCCAAATGTCTTCATACACACAACATCCCCAGGGAAAAAAACTAAAGATAGGATGCTCAAGACTATAGTTGAAAGCAGATGAGGTCTAATACATTGTTTGGAGAAGGAGTCATCTTTCACACATAAAAGCTTGAGGGGCTATTTAAAAAGCACCCAAGACCAAGCATATCCCAGTCTTATCAAAGAAGACCCTCTTTAACCATCTAAGCAAGTGACATAAAAACAAGTCTCTATCATTCTTAGGGAGCGTCCTCTTATCTAAATCAGTGGTTTGACCACATACGGTGATAGTACTACTGTATCTGTTGATTTTTGATGCAGTCAATTCAATAAGCATTTAGTAAGTAACTTTTATGTGTGAAACCCTGTGCCTGATACAGAGGATACAGAGACACAACAAGACACGGTCCCCGCTCTCAAGGCCCTTACCATCCAGTAAGGGCCTACATAATGCACCAGACACAAGAGCCATTATATGAGGGAGGTCACAGAGTAACAGCAGAGATTCAGGGCGGGAAAGACAATTTCTAGCAGAAGGGACAAGGAGATGGTAACTTGACTGGGCCTGGAAGGAAGAGAACAATTTCAGCAGGCAGAGATGTGGAAGGAGCCCGTTTCAGGGGGAATAAACAAAGAATAAAAAAGAGGCAAAAAGCAGTTCAGTAAAACTAACCTACGTATTGAACAAGTTTGACATTATGTACAGTGTCCCATACTTAGGATTCTGCCATTTTTTATTTTTGTGTTGAATTAAAAGTTATTTCAGAAGCAACAGTTGGCACTGCAGGCAATTTTGTTTTTAGTAACTGCATTGAGCTGTTGCATCCATAACTTACCTGTCTGGATACAAAGAAACATAGAGTAAAATGACAAGTATAGCTCCAACAATTGTTGCTAATGATGATCTCATCCAGAAACTTAGCTGGCAAAAATTACAGTATTGCACAATGGTGATCAGAATGGCAGAGCACATAAACATGGTATACTGCAATGAGAAAAAAAAAGGAAGCAATTTCAAATTTAACTCCAAATTTCGACAGAACTTATTATATGAGTTTAACCAAGTAATATTATTCAGTGAATATTATTATGTGAAATAGACACAGTTCTCCTGGAAAGTTACATAATATAAGGCCAAATGACAACGCAGAGCCTTAGAGCAAGAATGAGCCTCAGAAGTTGTTTTTACAGTTAAGGAAGCTGAAGGCCGGAGAGGAAATGATTTGTTCAAGATCATATAGCCAATTAAAAGCACTGGTGGGACTAGAACCCAGCTCTTTGACTTCCACGTTCGTGCTCTTTTTACTGGGCCAACACTTTCTGTTCTTAAATCTTTATTCATGCTTTTCCTCCATCCTCCTGCCCAGCTTGCTGCTATTTGTTCAAATACTACTCAAACTTCAAGTACCAGCCCCCTCCATGAAGCTTTCCCTGATAAACCTGGTCCACATTCATTTATCTTCTTTTTGCCCTCTCAGTATACTTCTCTAACACATTTTGACAAGATTACATTTTGTTATTAAGTATTTTAAAAGTTTTTTGTTTAATACAGAAGCATTAAGTTTGAGATTAAAGTTGCTAAAAGAGGCTGTTATTTTTACACTTAGTGAGTCAAACAGTCTTCTAGACAGATCATTTATCATGAAGTTCATTATCCAGAATTTTAAACCAGTTTAAAATGACAAGTTTAAATCAAGTTTCCCAAGATGCTCCAAAGCTTATGCTGATGCGAAGAAAAAAAAGTTGTCTATAAGCATCATCATTTGAAGGTTGCCACTATATAATCATAATGCTTTTCCTTAAAGCACCCTGCTGTGAATGAACCAAAATACAATTTGGGTCTGAAAGCATGAAAATGCAATCAGGCCCTGAGATATTCATTTTACCTTAGCTTGTACTACAGATACATATAGTTTTCAAGTTGGTATGAATCCACAAATTACGGAGTTCAATTAAGAAGTTCTTTTCTTGGTAAATTAACAGCTGATAACACATTCTGTTCCATATCTGTTAATTATGAAGGGTTTACTAACTTGAGTATTTGGTGAATGGGAATTTGGAATTTTTACTTGGACCCTTGGGACAAACTACCTGAATTCAAGCCACAAAATATTAGAATAGCAATAATTCTAAACTTCTATTATACAATTGAACTGTACTTTTCTTTTGGGAGGTTCTTCCAAGTGCAGAAGTAGGATTTGTAAATCAATTAGTTAACAGAATTTAAGGAACACTATATACAAAGGATAGAAGCTGAACCTTTATCCCTAGATCTCTATCCTGGGTAAAAGTTTACTTTTTAAAAGGGACCATTGATTTAAAGAATGCCCAAAGTAGCCTCAAGCTATAGATGAAAATTAACAGAAGTCCCGAAAGAGCACAGCAACTAAGATAGATAAGCATAGTAATTGACTCACATGTATGTTTGTTTCAAATTCGGAGGTAAAATGTGAATAAACTGCAAGGGCCGGGAGTGAGACCAGGATTGCGCCAATGAAATGCCGAGGGAGCCAACCAGCTATCATCTCCAGCAGGTGCTTAGTACACGTCATTACCTCCTCAAGGAAAAATGCCATTCTGTAACAAATAAAGTCACTAAGTAATTCATAATTTTAACACACACAGCAAACACTATTTTCCTGCATGTAGGTCAGTCATAAAAATAGGTAGGTGTATATATGCTACACCAGTTATGGAGAAAATAAATCGGACAACAGACAGAGGGCTGTATTCCACCAGACCACAAATGGAAGGCAAAAAGGCTGAAAACTTGATAGAATGAACAAAGTCTATCTACTCAATGATGGAAATGATGAGCATAAAATTACTGATTTCAGTACTCAATCTGCATTCATAATATGACACACATAGCAGGTTTTAATTTATGTTGAATGAGAGTTGTTCCAAATAGTTTTCTTATTTTACAATACCCCTTGCCTCTGTCCCCTCCTCTCTATTCCCACTGTCACTGCTCTATAGGAAAAGCCTCAACTATTCCTAAAGCCTCTTGGTAGATCTTTGCACCTCCCCTTTCTTTCCCTGTCAATTTATTCTTCATACTATTGCCAGACTAATTCTCCTTACGTATAGATCTGGTTATGCCACATGTATAGGTCTGGTTATTTCTTTATCAAAAAAAAAAATCAGTGACTCCTCCAGTATTAACCTGCTGAATAAAGGTCATACTTCTTTGCTTGACACTCAAAGCCCTTTATAACTTGATGCATTAGTGATGCAAATATCTATATCAATGAAATTATAAATCTTGAATTCTTGAAATACTATAAAAACATAGAAATATGAAATATAAAAATGATGTGGTAATTTTTCTATATATTCAGCACTGGTCTGATCTTTGCTAAAGAACAGTATTAACTTGTAGTCCCCACAGTATAAAATGGATGTGGAGACCTTATAAAAAGGTCCAAAGCAAAGCTACAAATAAGTTTAAAGGTAAAAAAAAGACCTACGGAAATGAGATTATTCAATATGAAGACCAGGCTGAATGGTGCTTTAATGATGACTTTTAAGAACAGAAAGAGTTCAGATAATGATAGGTACCTGTTCCAATGCTACTTTGATGATAGAACAAGAGAAAATAGGTGGATATTATAGCAGAGCCATAGGCTAATGTACATAAACACTTATAAATGTCATATATCATGATGATATAAAGGCTCTCTTCAGAGTTCCCACGGGTATTTGGGAATGGGCAATTGAAGCAAGCTAAGCAAGAGGCTAGGCCTAGGCTGTTGTTGTTTGTCCTCAGTTTTCAAAGAGGACCAGTGGTGTGATGGTGTGATGTCACTCATGTGTGAACTGGATTTAAGTGAGGCAGAGTCATCGAAGTCCAATGGCGGGACAAAAATCAAGAGGACTGGAGACGGCCCAGGATGCAGCGGATGACCTTGGCATCTTCAATGTCTGACCAAGTTCTAAGCCCCCCCACAACGCCTGCTTCAGTTGCCTTCATGGCCACTGGACCAAATCGTTCTCATCCACCTATTCCAATGGGGACAATCTTCACGTGCTTGGGGCGGACATCCCCCAACTCACTGACAAGTTTGAGGCCTGTTAGTTACCCTTAATCTGGTTTAGTCTGTCTACCAACACAGTTTTCCTGGGGTGTGGCTGCTGATCCTGCTACAGCTTCTTGGAGTCACAGGTAAGAGTTGAGTGACAGGTGGACACCAAAGGTAGATGAGCAGCTCTGAAAAGGGCTCACCCTCACAGTAGAGGTGTTAGTCCTCTCTGAATACCCCATACACCCCAAAAGGCGAGGCAGAGCTCTTGGGAGATATGAGAGAGACAAGTTTCAAGAGGCAGGGATGGAAGGAGAGCTAGGGAAATGGAAAAGATAAATGGTAAAGAAGGACGCCAGGAGATGAAGAGGGACCCTATCTGAGACTCCTGAGTCTTTGGTTCCTAAGAAGTAGGACTCCCTAGAGAGAGGGCTTCTGTGGTCCCGTTTGGACCTCACTGATGAAGGTGAGAAGGTGGTCTGGAGTTTCTGTATTCATCTAGTTCCGAAGCTAAGAAACTCAGTAGGCCCAAGGCTGCTACTTTACTGGATGTTACTTTAAAATCCTGCTTGCTGGTCTTACATAGCAGCTTGGGGAGTGCCAAGGGAAGACGCACAAGCCTGTTTTTCCTGTTCTATTGGTTACAGTGTGGGTCTGAAAGAAGTACTTGCTCCCTGGAAGTTTGGAAGGTTACAGTTTGGGAGGTAGGTGGCAAGAGTGTTTGTTGCGTCAGTCTTTTCTGTCATATATCTTGCATTTATTTTGAGCAAATGTTGCTCTGATACCACATGATTAATTCTGACTGGTTGAGGTGGGTTTTAGAGGAAAAGTAGAGACCTATGAGCAATAATAGAATAGAAGGTGAATCCAAATGGGTTTTAGGAACCTGAATACATCAGTAGGGCACTGCATTATCACTCTTCTTTTACCAGGATGGGTCTAAATGTCCGCTTTAACTTCTGATCATCAGTATGGAATTTAATAAGTAATACACAAAAATTCTCATTAACATCTACCTGAGATATAACAGTTTCAGGTAGCTCAAATAATACAAATAGTTTTTTATCTTCCTTCCCTACAACCACCCTGTTGAATGACCACGATTGCAACCTCAGAATCATCCTCAACTCTTTCTTTTCCTTTACCCCTCATATCCAGTCAAGTGCCAAGTCTCATCAATTCTACCTACACAATGTATTAGTGTCTATCCCCTTCTCTCAGCTAACATTGCCACCAACCCAGTTCAGGACCTCACTATCTCTCACCCCCAACTACTGCAACAGCCTACTAACGGCTTGACCCTCTCTGATGAATCCTGTCAACAGCTGCCACTTTGATCATTCTAAAGCCCAGGTCTGACCATGTCATTTGTCTGCTCAACAAGTTCCGGTGGCTCCCCCCTTGCCTTGGGACAGAATACACACTCTTCTGTTTGTTGGGAAAGCCCCTCATGATCTGGCTAGAGCCTATCTTTATAGGCTTATTACACCTTATGTTACTGAATGGATTCTAAGCTCCATCCCAATTGTCCTGCTTGCTCTTCCCCATACAAGACATTCCATCTCCTGTCTTCAGGCCTGTGAACAGGATGTCTAGGAACTTATTCCCCTCTCATTTCTACCTATTAGAATCCCTAGTTTCCTTCAAAGCTCCACTCAAGTGCCATCAGGAGGTTTATCCTGATCCACCCAGATATTAGTGACCTCCCCTCCCTCTGTGTGTATTTAATTTTATATGTATATACATACAGACATACATACATGTAAATATATATATATGTAAATATGTTTTCCCTCCAGTAGGATGTGAGTTCCTGGGGTACAAGTGGTGTTTCATTTTTGTCTCTGTATTCCTCAGTACCTGGCACATAGGTATAATGTTCCATGAATTAAATTGAAAAAAAAAAATCAACTTCACTAGTCCAAGATTAGGGAAGCATGGCTAGATAGCAGTTTATTTGAAAAAAGGGGGGAGGGGTTAAGTAAACTACAAGCTCAATATAAATGAACTGCGATGCAAGGGTGACAAAAGCTAATCCTCAAAGTTAGGCTATGTGAAAAGCTCAGTGCAAAGGATGAAGGAGGTAAGTCTAGTCTTATTGGACTGTGCCCTGATCAGACCATACCCACACCTGGAGTACTGGGTTCTGCTCTGGGTACTATATTATAGGATGGCCAGTGATAACCTGGAAAGTATACAGCAAAAGGGACCAGGATCATGATTTTGGAGGATCAGTTGAAGGAACTGAAGATGTTTGACCTGGAGAACAGAAGACTTAGAGACAACATAATAGTTGTCTACAAGAAGCTGAAGAGCTGTCCTATAGAAGAGGCTCATGTTCTTGTTCTGTTTAACAGAACAAAGAATAAGGTGGATATAGGTATATATATATATATATATATATATATATATATATAGATATAGATATATATATATAGATATAGATATAGATATAGATATAGGTATATATATATATATATACATATGTATATGTACATATATATGTATATATATGTATATATATATAATTTTATATTTTATATACATATAATTTTATATTTATATATATAAATACATATATATAATTTTAAGATTAGAAGGAACTACTTCTTTATTTTTACAGATAAGGAAACTGAAGCCCAGAGAGGTTGACTTATTCAAGGTCACACAAGCAATAAGTGGTGAAGGCAGAATTTGAATCCAGGGCCTCTGACTTCAAATCCAGCACACCTCCCATTTTTCTACTCTAATAGTGCCTCTAAAGGTATATAGGACAGCTCTGGGAAGTAGTGGGCTTCCCCTCACTAAGGGTCTAAGAAAGAGGCCAGATGACCTCTTGTTGGGAATGTTTTAAAGAGACTTCCTAGAGGTAGGATTATTTGGCCTTTGAGGTATCTTCCAACTCTGAGATTCTGTAATCTTTCTAATAATTCCATAAGATTTACTGAGCATTGGAAAGGGTTGAGGAAGGTTGTATAAAGGTCTTAAACATTCCATAGATTACATTCTTGTTTATTTAGAATACCCATGATCTTGAATAATAGCAGGGGAATGACCTCCTAACTAGAAACCAAGACAAAAGAAACATCCTGGAGGATTTTTGAGTGTCAGAAGCTATAGAGGGGGCAAGCAGGATGATTGGGAAAAGGCTTTAGTGTTAAGAAATCCTTGGCAACCTTAGAGAGAGCAACTTCGGTCAAGCTTGAGAAGAGAGTGGGAAGTGATACAGCATGGCAACTTAAAGAACAAGAAAGAACTAACTATTGAGGAGAAAATGGAAAGCTTTGCACAGTAAATTGCATCTGAACCAAGCCTTGATGGAAGCTAGGGCTTCTAAGAGGTAGAAGTGAATAGGAAACAAATCCTAGGCATGAAGGACAGTCCATGAGAAAGCACAGAGACAGGATATGGAAAACCAAGTTCAGGAAACAGCCAGCAAGTGAGTTTGGGGAGTAACATGGAATAAATTGGGAAAAGGAAGTTGGAACATTACTGAAGCTTTAAATGACAGATTGAGGATTTTGTATTTTAAGTTTAGCCCAAGCTTCTATTACT